TATAAGAAGGTAGCTTAAGGGGCTGGAGAGATGGCTCATTGGTTAAAAGCACTGGCTGCTCTTCTAGAGGACCTGAGTTTGATTCCCAGCACCCATGTGGCAGCTCACAGCTATCTGTAACTCCAGTCCCGGGGGACCTGATGCCCTCTTCTGGCTTCCATGGGCACCAGGCACAAAGGTGATGGACAGATCAGAACACCCACACCTACAAACTAATATCATTATCTTAAAACAGCATTCCTAAGAACATCCCACTATCTAAACTGGAAGTGAAAACTATGTAAAGTGGACTTGGTATTACAAATTAAGCCAGATAGAAAAAAAGAATCCATTGGGTCTAGGGAGATGACTCAGTGGTCAAGAGTGCTTGCTTCTCTTCTAGAGGACCAGAGTACAGTTCCCAGCACTCATGCCAGGAAGTCCACATCTTCCTGTAACTTCAGCTCCAGGGGATCCACCACCCTCTTCTGGCCTCTCTGGGCACTTGCACATACGTGGCATTCACACACACACACACACACACACACACACACACACACACACACACACAAATCTTGAGATGGATGTGGTTGCTCACACCTTTAATCCCCAGTACTCAGATCTCTGAGTCCTAGGCAAACCTGATCTACACAGGTTAGCTAGGATTAGGAAGTGAGAGTCTGTGTAAAATAAGTAAATTCCTTGTATTTTGTCTTAAAGTCCAACACAAATTAAGATGCCAGGCTATGAAATTGATCACCAGACCTGAATTTTTTCCTTTTGTGTATTGGATAGCAGAGCTGTGTTGATATTTGAATATTGTAGAAAATCTATAGAGTTTGAGATCATGACTACTGTATTAGAAATAATCCTTACTTAGGTTTTCTTCTATCATTACAATAAAGATTTTTATTTCTTAGGTGAAGAGTAATAGAGCAGGTCATCTAGAGTCCTTTTCTGGCCTCCATATACATACAGGGACTTAAGCATACAAACACACTACACACCACACGCTCGCTCGCGCACACACACACAAACTTGGTTCATTTAGGAGGATTCTTTCTGTGTTAGTTACTTTTCTATTGCTGTGCTAAGTCACCAAGACCAAGACAACTTATAAAATAAAGCATTAATTTGGGGTTTACAGCTCCATGGGGTGGAGTCCATGACGGTCATGGTGGGGAACCTGGCTGTAGGCAAGCATGGCACTGGAGTGGTATGGGAGAACTTACATCTTGATTCACAGCAGGAGGCAGAAAGAGCTAACTGGGAATGGGAGGGGCCTTTGAAACCTTAAAACCCATTCCCATTGGCACACCTCCTAATTCTTTACAAACAGTTCTACCAACTGGGCAATCAATTATTCAAATATATGAGCCAGTGGGGGCTGTCTGTATTCAAACCATCACACGTTTAGTTCTTAAAACAAAAATGAAGGATAGCTTTTCAGTGTGCATTTTTTAGCAGCACACAGTTCCTGAAACCAAATGATCATCTTCCTAGCCTTATGCTATGCTCAGAAATACCAAGTGTGGATGCTTTACTTTCCCTTTTCTTTATATTTAGGATTTTTTTTCTAAAAAAGACCTATCTCTTAAATTCATCTTTAAAAAATAAGACTAATGGCCCAGCGAGGTGCTTAGCAAGTAAAAGCATTTGGTGTACAAGCTTACAACCTAACTTTGACCATCAGAACTCATGATAGAGAACTAACCAATGGGAGTTGTCTTCTGACCTCCACGTACACACAGCTACGTGTACCTGTACTTAGATACACATACCCACAAATAAGATGGTAACATGCAACTGTAAAGAAACACAGTTCAGAATTAAGTGCATGTTAAGATTTGTCAGTCACCCGTACCCACTCATGCCTTAACTTTCTATCACAGCCTTTTCCTTAATGGTTTTGAAGCCTTCTTGATTACCTGCTGTCCATCTGGACACTGCAGTGCTAACTAGGGAAGAAGGCACCTCACATGTCTTCAGTGGCGTAAGCTATTATTCTAACCTCATAGGTAGTCATTTTATAATGATAACCAAACACTTAAACTTTATGTTGACTTTTGTAATATTTATTTTGTATTTGGTTTGTTCCCAAACCTTTAATAGCATACAACTGTGGTCAGTGCATTTTTTTGTTTTAGTTTTGTATGTCATAAATTGTTTGTTTGATGTTTAGCACCCAGAAGTGTTTTGTAGTTTTGTATATTTTTCTTTTCTTTTTTAAGTTAGCCTACAAAGTCATGGGTCTCATGGCATTTGTATATATACAATATATATAATATATTTGTGTCAGTGGTTCTTAACAATGGTTCTTAGTCTACCCAATGCTGTGACCCTTTAGTAACAGTTCCTCATGTTGAGGTGACCCCCAACCATACAATTAATTTCGTTGCTACTTCAAACTGTAATTTTGCAGCTGTTATGAGTTGTAATATAAATGTCTGGTATACAGGATATCTGATATGCAACCCCTGTAAAAGGTCATTCCAACCCAGAAGGGGTTGTGGCCCACAGGTTGAGAACCACTGGGTTAGAACTTTGTCCTTCCTCACCCACTTTCCCTGTCTTCCCCCATCCTCCATCAGCCGCTCTTGCTGGTACCCATGCTCCCAACAGCCTGCCTTCTGCCTCCACGTCACATGAACTCTTTTTAGCCTCCTCTCCCTCAAGATCTTTGGTCTCATGGTCTCCTTTCTACTTTGATGACCACCCCACGCACACACACTCACTCCTAAATCTAGATTCTTCATATGAGAGAAAACAGGATATTTGTCTTTTTGAGTTTGGCATGTTTTGCCTCCCACAATGATCTTCCATTCCATCTGTTTTCTTGCAAATATGATTTTGGCTTTCCTTATGGCTGAAGTATATATGCATGTATGTATGCATTCTGTTTATCTGTTGGGGATCTAGGCTGGTTCTGTTTCCTAGCTGTTGTGAAAAGTGCAGCAGTAACTATGGCGGTGCATGCATCTGGAATGTGCATGGCCTCTGTGCTGTATCTTTTAGGTGCTGTAGCTGGATCATGTAGCTTTGTAGTGGCTGTAGCAGTTTGTGTTCCCACCAGCAGCAAATAGCCCCCTCCCCCAACATCCTCACCAGCACTGGTTATCACTTGTTCCTTTGGTGATGACCATTCTGACACTGCTAAGATGAAGCCTTAAAGCAGTTTTTTTTTTTAAAGATTTTATTTATTTATTATGCATAGTGTTCTGCCTGCGTACTGGAAGAAGGGCACCAGATCTCATTATAGATGGTTGTGAGCCACCATGTGGGTGCTAGGAATTGAACTCAGAACCTCTGGAAGATCAACCAGTGCTCTTAACCTCTGAGCCATCTCTCCAGTCCCTTAAAGCAGTTTTAATTTGGATTTCCTTGACTGTGAAGGATGGTGAACTCTTTTTCAAATATGTATCTCTTAAGTTCATTAGCCTGCTTACTGAGTCAAAAGTGGGTCAACTTTTTTTGTAATGCTTGTAACAAGTTTTGAATGTGTTTTTTCTTTTTTTTTTTTTTTTTTTTTGGTTTTTCGAGACAGGGTTTCTCTGTGTAGCTTTGCGCCTTTCCTGGAGCTCACTTGGTAGCCCAGGCTGGCCTCGAACTCACAGAGATCCGCCTGGCTCTGCCTCCCGAGTGCTGGGATTAAAGGCGTGCGCCACCACCGCCCGGCGTGTGTTTTTTCTTTTTAATATTTACAGATTTGATAAGGAAATGAATAGTGAACATTACAATTTTTACAGTGACTTATATTTTCCATAATTTATTTAGCTTTTACCACTTAGTCAATAATATAAGTTGTGTTTATGACAAGCATCTCTAAGAGAAAAATATATGAGTAGCTGATTATTTTTGAGAATCCTCCTGTGGATTATTTCCTTCATGGCTCCAGTTTATGTTCTGACTGAATTGGTTTTACGTAATCTAGCATATCTAGGTTCTTTTGTGTTGTGTATGTTTGTGTCTATGTGTGCAAATCTGTGTAAGTCAACATCAGAGTATCTTTCTCACTCTGCAGCTTATTATTTTAGATTAGTTTTTATTTATGTGTCTGTCTGTCTGTCTGTGCTACATGTGTGGGTGCCACCTATAGAGGCCAGAAGTCAGGTCCCCAGGAGCTGGAGTTGCAAGCCATCATTATGCCACCTGAGGTGGGTGCTGGGAATTAAAGTTGGGTCAAGTGTTCTTCATCCAATCCATCTTACTTTCTTGAGAAGGGAGTCTCTCACTGAACCTGGGACTCAGTGAGATCCTCCCAGGGTATAGGTGCCACACCCCAGCCTTTTGTGTGTGGGTATTGTAGTTCACAACTCAAGTCTTCATGATATGCAGCAAGTATTTTACAGGCAGAGTCATCTCCTTAGTCTCACACAAAATTCTTTTCAATCTATAGTTCACACTAATATGCATGGAAATCTGAATTCTCTCTATATGTAGTATATCGATACAGTCATTCATTACTTACTGATGAGAAAGGCAATTTTGGGTGATATCGTTATTAAATGACTGTCACAGCTGATGTTTACACAGATTAGGACAGCCATGACATTGTCCACTGCTTTATATATGCAATGTGGTATTGACTAGTCGTTATACAGAGCATAACTGTTTGTAGATGTGTATATTTGCATGTATCACTAGAAGTGCATGATACATGTATTGTGTGTGTGTGTGTGTGTGTGTGTGTGTGTGTATAAGACTAGAAGTACAGATTTTCTACAAATTGAGCTACCATCACTTTGAAAACCTTACTATATGGCTCACAAACATATATTTCTGTAATAGTGTGGCCAAAGCTTTTTGTGGTCCTGTTTTATATGTAGCATACTCCTAGACTGACTGCAGTTTGAATATCAAACTTAAGAAGTTTTGTCATTTGCTAGAAAGATTCTGTCTGTATTGTATGCATGTGAATATTAGCCTTAAGGACTTGAGGTGGGCAGAATTTGAAATCACATTTAGTTACTTCTGTTCGCCCGCTGACGTTTGTAACCCAAATTTCTGAATCTTTTCTGCAGGAAGTTTTGGGAGCGATTTATTGCCCTGTGTCATGAAAATCATAGCCTACACGGGATCACATTTGATCAGATCAAGGCACAGTTAGAGGCTTTAGAACTCAAGAAGACATATGTGTTGAATCCACTGGCTCCTGAATTTATTCCCCGGGCTTTACGACTGCAGCATTCAGGCAACAGCAGCAGACAGCAGCAGTCACCACCCAAGGTAAAGGCCCTCCTTTACACTGGCGTGTTGGGCTAGAGTTCACTTCCCCAAGATGTCGGTGGATGAATGAGAACACAGCATGGGGGGAGCCATGCTTATGTTGTAGTCATCCTCTGAAAGTGGGAAGACTTTGGGGACTTTTTGTTTTACCTGCCAGCACTCCTTGCTGGGAGACTTGAGACTGGCAGATGACATGCGAATAAAAGCGCAGCGTAAAGGATTACTACACATTTTATTTTATTTAAAAAAACCTAAAACCATTTCTTAATGTAATTTACGTATTTGTGTGTGTGCCTGTGCATGCGTGCACACACTGGTGCCGTGCATAGATGAGGAGGTCAGAGGACAACCTGGGGGAGTCAGCAAATTGCTTCACCTGCTGAGCTGCCTTGCCAGCCCCACTGACACATTTAAAGGCATGTCTATACAAGCTATTATATACAGAGATTCTGTTTTAAAATAATGTTTGAATAAAGAAAATTGTTCTTATCTTTTAATGACCCTTTCATTTCAAGTGGTATTTGACAAAGTTGAGACAACTTGCTAGATTCTTGAGGATGAAATGGTTCTGTAGTCTGGAAACATCCTGTTTGGAGGGGTCAGAGCTGAGGTGTATGGGGAGGTCAAGGCCATTAGCAGTTCTGAGCCACAGTTATTTTGGGCAAAGACAGCTGCCTTGTTTGTTCCAGTGCATGAAAAACAGAAACAACAACAACAACCCTTTCTTGCAGTTAGCGTCCTGAGAAGCAGATTCTGAGAATGGCACGTGTGAGTCACTGCAGTCTGCTGGCTCCTGTAGAGTAGGCATGGCATAAACTTATTGCTCGGAACTGAGAGCAGGTTAGCGTTGGGCTTTGTTATGCCTAATGTGAGCAGGGATGGATGGCTTCCTATTTCCAAGGTCTTTTAGCTGAAGAGGCACTAAGCTGAGGGCAGCTCTGCTAATGCACAGTCATACGTTCTTGCTTCATAAAAATGTACTATGTTTTGCTCCTGTGACTTGGTGTTATTAGAGGGCAGTGTGCACAACTGAATCACTTCCTTGGGCCATGTGTTAGAAGCATAGATAAACCAGCTAGCTGCAAGTCCTTTTTTGGCAGATGTTGGATGGATGACAGCAGGATGCAGAAGCTGGAGATGGAGTCAGATACACACCCTGGGGTTCTAGTTGAGAGCGGTATTGTGGACATGGGGGCAGGGAGGTTGGGGAGATGTAAACAAAACAACAGTAACAGTGAAACCCAAGCTAGCTCAACTGGGGTGGTTTTTGCTTGTGTTAGTCATTGCTCTGGCTCTGTGCCCAGAAGACTATCTGGGTAAAATGATGCTCTAAGTACTCTTTACCTGGGTATGATGATGTACATGCCTGATATCCTAGTATTTGGGACGTAGAAACAAGAGGATCAGGAGTTCAAGGTCATTCTTGGCTCTGTTATAAGTTTAGGCTAGCCTGGGCTACATGACACCCTATCTGAAAAAGAAGTAGTTTTTTTTTTAAATGAATAAGGAAGTTCTGTGTTACATTATTGTAGCAAATATCTAATATAATCGACTTACAATGTGCTAAGATTTATTTTCACATTTTAAAGGTTTTAGTCTACACCCAGTTGGTCCCTTTGCTTTGGGTCTGACACTGCTTGTGTCAGAAAAACCAACCACTTCATCATTGGGAAGCCAAACTGGAGGGGAAAAAAAGGAGAGACCAGGTCCCACAAACCAACCAAGGGCATTTGCTTCTGTCTTGAAGACCTCCCACTCCACCCCACCTCTTACAGGGTCCATCACCTGCTGAGGACCAAGTCTGTGGGGAACATTTCATTTCCAAACTATAGAAAGCTTTTACAAAGGGTGCAGTTTATCACAAGTTCTAATTGGTCTTAACAAAAACTCGGAGTCAGGTATCAGGGTGAAAGCTGAAGGATGAGAGAAGCAGAGCAGCAGCCACTAGAGACTTCTTAACTCTATGAATCCTCACCCCGAAAGGGGCTGAGCTCCTGTCTCCTCTGCCTTATATTCCTCTCTCTGCCTAGCCGTATCATTTCCTGTCTTCATCTCCCTAGTGCTGGGATTAAAGACATGAGATCCCAAGTGCTGGGATCAAAGGTATGTGCCACCACTGCCTGGCTCTTTCTTCTTTAGACTGGATCAATATTGTATAGCTCAGGGTGGCCTCGAACTCACAGAGCTCTGTCTGCCTCTGCCTCCTGAGTGCTGGGATTAAAGGTGTATGCCACCACTGCCAGGCCTCTATGGCTAACTAGTGGCTTAGCTCCACATTTTGATCTCCAGGTAAGCTTTATTTGTTACATCACAAACAAAATGTCACCACAGTATAGGATTCAAGAGAACAGGGGACATTTTTGCAAGGAACCACAGGAGCTTACAGTATGTGAAAGTTGAGAATTCATGCTGGCAAGTGACTGAGCAGGTGGAAGTCTTTGCTGGACAAACATGGTGACCTGAGATGGATCTCCTGAGCTCACAGTGGAGGGAAGAGGACCAACCTCCAAGACACCTGCTTGTCTCTGTCTCTCTGTCTCTGTCTCTGTCTCTGTCTCTCTCTCTCTCTCTCTCTCTCTCACACACACACACACACACACACACACACACACAGATAATTTTTTAAGAGGTTTTATTTTATTTTTTGAGATAGGACCTCACTATGTATTTGTGGAACTTGCTATGTAGACCAGGCTGGCATCAGCTCTCCTTGGTCCACTGCCTCTGCCTCCTGAGTGTTGGGGTTAAAGCATGTACTACCATGTCTGGCTCCAGCCTTTGTTTTTAGTTTTAAGTGTGTGTGTGTGTGTGTGTGTGTGTGTGTGTGTGTGTGTGTGTGTGTGTGTGTGTTTGTATATGTGAGTACAATGCCTGTGGAGGCCAGAAGAGGGTGTCCATTCCCATGGAGCTGGAGTTACAGGTAGTTGTGAGCCACTAGACTTTGCTGGGAACTGAACTCAGGTCCTTTTCAAGAACGGTATGTGCTCCTAACTGTTGAGCCACCTCTCCTGTCCTCCAAGTTAGTAAGCATTTACTGAATGAATAAGTGGGGCAAACAGAGTGAGTGATGAAGAAAGTAAACATTTAAACCAATGAATGACAGATGATACAGAACATTTACAGATGTCAAAAGTAGGAGCTACAGCTGCTTATAAAAGATCCCACAATTGCACCTTAGCAAAGGTAAGCACACATGCTGAGGTTTATTATTAGGTGAAACTAATTATTATAGAATAACTTCTGTACATAGTTAGCTCTAGCTGGCTGCTACATTCAGTTTCGATTATAAGCTACTAAACTGTATTTTGCCCAAAACCAAGTAAATCTGCTGTTTACAGTTACCCATTAAATCAAAATATGGTGGGTAGCTATGTCCTTTGAGTTGTGTGGAGTGTAGAATTAGACTGAAAGGTGTGTGTGTGTGTGTGTGTGTGTGTGTGTGTGTGTGTGAACCCCAGTCTGCTTTTGATTTGGTATATCACAGAGCACCCAGAGTGGTACTGTCTGTCAGCCAGCAAGCCACTCAGCTTTAAAAGTGGGGTGGGCCTCAATTATAGCTACCTTTGCCTCAGTTTTCCCTGCTGATTAACCTCTCCATTAGTGTAGGGACTTAAAAAGAACATGGATTTATCACCTTGGTTGGGATTGGCTTGCTTTTGTTTCTCTGTTCTGGGTTTTCAAGGCTGGGACTGGGATGAAATCTGCTTCTATACTGATGCAGGTGGTTGGCAGAATCCAGTTTCTGATGATCTTAGGATTGATACCCTTGTCTCCTTGGTGACTTGTGATCGTGTAAGGACAGACTGATATCAGCATCACATGTGACTCTGTCATTGCTTATTTAATAAAGCCCCAAATGATGGATATTTGCATCTTAAGCATTTATCACACATATAGATCACACTGGGATGAACATCTGTGCCCAGATCACTGATTATTTCAATTGGATAAATTCCTGGAAGTGCAATTACAGTATTAAAGTCTCGGTACATTTTTGATGCTTCTGATCTATATTGCCAAATTGCTGCCTAGCAATTAACTAAATTTTCCCTCAAAATCATCAGTGTCTCTTTTGCTTATTTTCAGAGAAAATTGAATACTTTGAGATACTATGAATCATACTGGAAAAAAAAAATCAAACCTTGTTAGTATGGTTCTCGCCCTATGAGTAGAACACTGAGATTTTTTCTTTTTGAAAAACAACTTTTATATTTTGTCATTTCGTTTTTAGAGCAATTTTGGGGATGTTACTATGGGATAGAAATCATTGTATTGATTGCACATTTCATTGTAGTTTCAGCACTTGGGAGGCAGAGAGGCAAGAAGGTCACTGTGAGTTTGTGGCCAGTCCATTCTATCACAAATTCTAGGCCAGCCAAGCTATATAACAAAAACCAAGCTAACCCCCCCCCAAAAAAAAAATTATTAAAAAGAGAATTTGAGGGCCTGGAAATATAGCTCAGATGGGAGAGTGCTTGTCTAGGATGCACAAAGCCACCTCTAGCACCCCATAAAACTAGGTATGGTGGCCATACCTGTAATCTCAGCACTTAGGAGGTGGAGGCAGAAGAATCAGAAGTTCAAGGTCATCCTTAGCTACATAGCCATTTTGAGGCTAGCCTGGGATACATGAGAATCTGTCTTAACAAAACAGGGGTTAGAGCCATGGCTCAGAGGTGAAGAAACTCTGCACAGTCATGAGGACTGGAGTGTGCATCCTCACACATGCACAATAAGCCCGTCAGCTCTCAAACCCAGTAAATTCAGCTCTAAGAGATTGAATACCCTCTTCTGACCTCTGTGCCTAAGCACCCACCCACAACTATGTTCATGCACAAGTGTGTGTGTTCACACGCACACACAGCAAGATAAAATAAATCTTAAAAAAATAGTATATTTAACTTTATTTTATGTGAATTGGTGTGAATGTGTCAGGTAACCTGGAACTGGAGTTACAGACAGTTGTGAGCCACCATGTGGGTGCTGGGAATTGAACCCAGGTCCTCTGGAAGAGCAGCCAGTGCTCTTAACCACTGAGTCACTTCTCCAGTCTTGATAAAATAAATCTTTAAGATACAAACAAAAAGGGATTTTAGGTATCATCAGTTTTGAAGCAGAAACCTGAAGATACAGCAGTGTTGCCTGCCAGGGTGTGGACCTAAAGAAAGTCAACTTGACATTGCCAGAATAGTGCCTGATTACAGCCTGAAAGTTTTCAAATATTAATTGTGAGTATTTATGTTTAGTTTGCACATGCTGAGGAGATATTCAGTTTGCTAAAGTTAAAACATGCTTAGGTTATCTTGTATTTGTTTTTGTCTTAAAGGGGAAAAGCCTTCATCATCCCCAGAGCGACCACTTCCAGAATGATGGTGTTGGTGAGTAGAACTCTTATTTTTATAAACAAAATTTGCTATGGGAAAGAGCTTTCTGTCTTTCTGTCTATCTGTCTTTCCTCTGCCACCCCCACCCCCATATACAGATAAGAACTTTGTAGTTTTAGTGAATTCTTTTATGACATGTTAATTTTTGAAAAGTGGTCAGATTGTAACTACCAGCGCACAGCCTTTTACACAACATAAGTCTTCTCAAAGTATTTCTATCCTATAAATGTGGTGTCATAAAAATTTCAAGATAAATTTTGAATACCATGTGATACAGGCATAACCTTCACTCCATATGTGCCTGAGTTACAACCGTAAGTCAGAACTTGGTTCTGAGGAACTGTCTGCTCCTGGTCTTGAGGCTGCTGCTCCAAGTTGTGCACTCATGGTTCTGTGTCTTGAAGACTTACCTCCAGCTTCTCAGAAGTTAACACTGCAGGCTTTGGGAAGTCCCCTTTGCACAGCTGTGGCTGATGTTCAAGAGCACCGTGGAACGGTTTTCTAATGTGCTTTATTCTGCACACTTGTTCTTTGGTGGAGGCGTTTCATGGGTCTCCTGGGAAATGTTTTTGCTATTGGATGATTAGAGCATTTCTGTCAAGGTCAATGTGTACAGCTATTGAGTCTCCTTTTTTTTGGTTTGTTTTACAGTTCAGCCCAATCCTTCTGTACTCATTGGCAATCCTATTAGAGCATTTACTCCTCCACCCCCTCTTGGACCTCACCCAAGTTTGGGAAAGTCTCCAAGCCCCGTTCAAAGAATAGATCCTCACACCGGGACAAGTATTCTTTATGTACCTGCTGTCTATGGAGGGAATGTGGTCATGTCGGTGCCTTTGCCTGTAAGTGGATGTTTGAAATACTTTCTCCTGAGTCAGGTAGTGCCAGCCTTTGCTTTTCAGTGCTGGGCATCAAACCAAGGGTCTCCCGAATGCTCAGCAGTCACTACTGAGCCACACCCCTACCCATATACTCTTTTATTTTAACTTTCCAGTGCCCATGAGATTCTTCTAAAGTAACTCATGTTTAACTGCTAAGTTTTGAAATGACCAAAGAAATATGTATTATTATGTGTAACTTGTTGGTTTGTCACAGAATATGAAGAAGTCTGTGAGTAGTATATTTTAACTCAGAAGCCTTTGAATTCTTCTGAAATGTTTTTTCCCCCTTCCTGAGGAGAATTGTATAAGTGATGCATTTATTTGTCTTTTGCATCTTTTTTTTTTTCGGGGGGGGGCGGGTGTTTCGAGACAGGGTTTCTTTGTGTAGCTTTGCGCCTTTCCTGGAGCTCACTTGGTAGCCCAGGCTGGCCTCGAACTCACAGAGATCCACCTGGCTCTGCCTCCCGAGTGCTGGGATTAAAGGCGTGTGCCACCAACGCCCGGCAAGAAGAGATTTTTTAGAGGACTTCCATCTTATTTATAAACTCATTTTTATATCCTTTTTGAAATGTTTGGTACTTTTTGTTCAACTTGTAGAAACATCAATATTTCTAAATTTAGAAGTTTTAGCCTAGGACACAGTTTATTTAAGTGAGATTTCAGGCAGAGGTGATCTTGTCAGCTTGTCAAAGGAGAATCAGCTTTGGCACTCCTGCCCATACCCATGAAGAGAAAACTGCTGAGCTACGAACTTTCTCGCTCTTGTTGGCCATGGTAGGCCACAAGCATGGCAGCCAAGCAGAGTAATTGTCACACCTGTGCTCAGAGGCTTTGGACTTCAGCTGAGTTATTTCTTCCCAGACACCTGGCAGCATGATACATGGTCTGCTTGAAATAGACTCTCTGTTAGGATTTCTATTTCATTTTACTAGGTCAGAGAAGCTTTTAGTGTGTAAGATTTCTGAGAGTGCATCCAGCAGTTCTAACAGTGACGACAGCAGTTGTCATTACCATCCCATCTGTGGTACCCTGGGGAGATCATGTGTATCTAGGCAAGCTTTCTGCCTCTGTGAAGGGGATTTAAGGTAGAGTTGAATCAATCAAAAGCACTAATTAACATAATGACCTGTTTGAATTTTGCCTGCTGTGAGTGAGCATTAAATGGTTGTTATTCATGAAAGGTTAGAATACCTACTCTCTGAATTGAGAGGCCCTACATTCCCCCTCTGTTCTTTGATCCAGTCTATTAAACTATGTAACCATGCAGTTTTCATTTGAAAAGATCATTTTCATGGTAATCTGTGTGTATGTCCTTGTGGAGGGGAAATGATTCAGGAGTGTAAACTGCTTGGACGTATTAGGGACTAAGTATCAGTTTCAAGTCCTATTTCCTTCTAACCCCCAGTGATCCATTTTCCTAACATGGTAAAGATTTTGAGAATCAGGTTTTGGCCATTAAGGATGTAGTAGTGATTCCATCCATTGTTACTGTTGAATAATATCAACATGGTAGTTGGGTAAAATTATGGTCTCTCTATGTGTATGATTGTTTTTTGCTAATCAACAACATTGTATCAGTTTGTGTTCAGAAATATACTCAGTTCAATTACTTTATTTCTTATAATAATTTAGGTGCCATGGACAGGATACCAGGGTAGGTTTGCAGTTGATCCTAGGATTATTACACACCCAGCAGCGATGGCCTACAATATGAACCTATTACATACACATGGACGTGGATCGCCGATCCCCTATGGCCTTGGACATCACCCACCTGTCAACATAGGGCAGCCGCAGAATCAGCATGCAGAGAAGGATCAACAGGAGCAAAATCGAAACGGTAGGTGGAATCCCGGTAGACATCTTGTGGCTTCAACCCTCCCCCTGGGTCCTTGAGTTAACGTCGTGTGTGGTGTGAGGTAAGGACTGATACATTGGTGTGGTGTTTTGTTTGTTTGGCACATCTATGGTCATTGGCTCCAGGATCATCTATAGAAAGGTCTGTTCTCCTGTCACTGGGCTACCTTGACACACATGCTCAAATCAGCCCACCATCCTTGGACTCTTCTTTTTCATTGGTGTCTGTTTGCGTTAGTGTTATTTGTGCCAGCCTGAGTACTGTAGCTCTGGACATGCTTCTAGGAAAACAGGCGGTCTAAGTGCTCCTACCTCCTTCTTTCCCAAAATTGCCTAGTTCAGGCTTTTTTTCCATTTCCATAAGCAGTTCAGAATGAGCTTGTCTTTTAAAAAACAAACAAACAAAAAATGCCGAAAGTTTGCTGGGCTTTTGATTTGGATTACTTTAAGTCTTTAGGTCAGTGTTGGAATAATTGGGAGCTTAACAATATTAAGCCTCTGGTCTATGGACAGAGTATATGTGTCCCTATCTTTTTAGATCTTAATTTCTTCCAACATTTAAAAGCAGTTTAAGTATAAAGCCTTTGGGTAGAAGCTCGATTAAAATGACTGTTTCGTGTAATGTCTTCCTCATTAGTACATTCCACAGGTTCTGATATGTTGTCTTTGCATTTTTTATTGAGTTCAGTATACTTTAAAGTACTTTTGAATTTCTCTTAAAGTTAAAATAGATTCATGGACTGGGTGGGTGGTGCTTGCCTGTAATCTCAGCATTGGGAAGACTCAGGCAAGACGATTCTGAAATCCAAGCTAACCTGGCTGCAATGTAGTAAGGCCCTGTTGCAGAAACAAAACCAAAAAGATAACATCCATGGGTTATTTAGGATGGTGAGTTTCAATTTCTGTTTATTAGTGATTTTCTAAAATGTTTCCTGTTACTGGTTCCTACTTTTAATTCCATCATGGTAAGAGAGCGTATTTTGTATGCGTGAATCCTGTTGAATTCATTGAGATGTGTGGTCTGTCTTTATTAATGCTTTATGTGTACCGGAAGCACTGGAATGCTTAGGGTGAGCTGGTCAGGGTTGCTGCTCAAGTCTTTGGTGTCCTTGCTAGTTTTCTGTCTTTTCTGTCACTTTCTGAAGAAAGGAATTAGTCTCTGAAAACAATGTATTTGTCTACCTTTTGTATTATTTTTTTTGAGAAAAAGTCTCAGCTAGGCTGGCTTTGGACTGCTTATGTAGCCCCGGGTGACCTTGAACTCCTAGTGTTTCTGCCTTACTTCCCCAAGAGCTGGGTTGACAGGTTTATTTCCTATGCCAGGCTTGTCTAGGTTTTCTTTATGTTCTGTCAGTTCTCATAAATTTTAGGGGTCTGTTATTAGGAGATAAACATTCAAGAGTATGTCCTCGGGTGACTCATTTAGTGTTACAGAATGACGGTTTCTGGTGATGTTCTTGACTCTGAGGTCTACTTTGGTCATCATCTGTGGAGCTCTTGGGCTTTCTTTTGACTAATGACAGTGGTCCATATTTGTTTTGACCCTTTGCTTTTAGCCTGTTTGTATCAGTAAGGTACGTTTCTGAGGCTGGGGCTCCAGTGCAGTGAGAAAGGCAGATTTCGTTTACATTGTACCCATGGCACTGCCCAAAAGCAGCAGCAGCTAAGTGTGTTGCTAGTAGACAGTTTATAATTAGTATTCCTTCTTTTGGCCCTGCCTGGCCTGGAACTCCACATAGACCAGGCTAGCCTCAGACTCAGAAATTTGCTTACCTTTGCCTCCTGAGTGCTGGGTTTAAAGGTGTACACCTCCACACTGAAATGGATTTTTTAAAAAATCTTGGTTTCTGTGAGCTTGATGTTTGTAGGGTGTACTTATAATTCCACTTGATATCTTTTGTTGGCTTATTAGTTATGACATAGTTAATAGTACTTTAGTTGCATTGGGGCTAGTATATATCTTTAACTTCTGTAGTATACCTTCCAACTATGTTCCACACACCGTGCGGAGTGAAAGGACTGACGGAAGTTCAGAACTCCCTCTCTGGGCTTTGGTGGCCGTGCATTCACTTTAATTTTCTTTTTTTTAAGACAGGCTTTCTCGGTGTAGTTCTGACTGTTTTGCAACTTGCTCTGTAGACCAGGCTGGCCTAGAATTCACAGAGATCCACCTGCCTCTGCCTCCCAAGTACTAGGATTAAAGGTGCACACTACCATGGCCCAGCGAATTTTACTTTTACGTAGGTTTATTTAAAAATATTACTGTTTTTTTTTTTTCTTTTCAAAGTATCGTTTTACAGACTTGCCTGGCAGTCTCAAGACCCTGACTTCTTTGATGCCTAGCACAGAAGGAAGTGTGTGGGACCATCATTAGCCTTATTTTTTATGTCTGTGTAATATACTATGCTTTCTCTGTCTGCTTTAAAGGTGTTTTTTTAGACTGGTCTTAGCAATTTGATTATAATATGCCTTTGGGAAGGTTTCCATTTGCTTTTTGGTTGTATGTGTATGTTGGGTCTTTTATAGTTCTTATGATGTTTGGAGATTTTCAAGGTTGATATCAGCAGATATTCTGTCTGACCACCTGCCCTCTTCTCTTATGGTCCCATTTACTCATGCATTCAGATGCGTAACATCCCCCAAAGCTCATGACTGGCCCTTTGTTGGTTCCTTTCAGGGTTTTTCTCTGTGTTTTGGTTTTGGTAGTTTCTGTTGCTTTTTTCCTTAGCTTGCCTTGTTTTTCTTATGCACTATCTAATCTTCTGGCCAGCCATTGGTTTTTAACCTTGACCATTACAGTTCCCATGTCTTCAAGTGCAGTGAGAAGTCAGCTCTGATGTGACAGTTCATTTACAGAGTTCTGGCGCTGCTGCTAGAGCATTTCTCAGAAACCACCCAACTTAGGCTCAATTCTTTCAGACTAGAGCTCTTCACACTTGGGAAGTTAGGCTAGTCTACTCTAACTTTATTGAAAAGCCTTACCCTGGCTTCCTCTGTAATCCATCACCTACTTACGTTCAAAATGTTTGCACACTGTAACTCCTGTCGCCGTGACAGAATGGCTGAGGTCAGCAGTTCATAAGAAAGATGTGTTTCGGCTTCTAGTTTCAATGGATACGTACGGTCCACCCTTGCTTTGTCCCGTTGCTGCGGGCATGTGTGCTGGAGGAGTTCTGTCTGCTTCATGGGAGTAGGGAAGGAGAAAGCCCGAGAGCAAGGGGCTGGAGTCCCAAGCCCACTTCTGTCCTCTATCCCCACCTCCTAAGGTTTCTTCTTCCCCGTAGCGCACAGGCTAGAGGACAAGCCTCTCCATGTGGGCTTTCAGGGAGCTTGTCGATCAAGCCCTAACAGTCAGCCTAGATTCCTTCAGTGAGTTGGATGGATGCATCATTTGGATTTTCACTTCATTGCATTTGCAAACGAACAAAGTGTTGAGCCTTTGTGAGCGGGCAGGAGTACCAAGACCTTTTATATGTCTAGTTTTTTAAAAAATGAGACTGTAAATTCCTGGAGAGTGGACCGTTTTCTTTTTTATTTGCTGTTTTCAGGTTGTTTCTCCTTTGTAAAGCTTTTGCCCTGTCATTTTTCATTTATAACTTTTCTTTTTTGGTAGAGAAGCTGCAGCTCTGAAAATAGAGAACTAAATGCATGTAGTAGTATAAAGTGATAAGAATGAGTGCATGTTGTTGAAACGATTCTGCTTTGTCTAGTGTTGAATAATCACTGGAAATATATTCACTGGAGATAATTATAAGGATTTAAAAATATTTTCTTAGGTAAAACTGATACAAATAACCCTGGACCTGAAATTAATAAGATCCGAACACCAGAGAAAAAGCCTACAGAGCCCAAACAGGTACGCTGCTCACATCAACTGAGTGTGGTTCTGGTGGGGAAGGTTTGATTGGCCCAAAGCATCTCCCACTTCCCGTGTCTGTTAAGCTCATTGTTTCAGTAGGGCATGCCACCCTTCTCCTGTCCCATTGTCTTTCATTAAGTTATTTCCTTTGCACGTAAATATTTCTTCAGATTTTCTTCTTTTAAAAAATTTAGATATTTATTTCATTTTATGTGTATAAGTGTTTTGCCTACATGTATGTATGTGCACTACATGGGTGCCCGTGGAGGTTGAATGAGGCCATCAGAGCTCCTGGAACTGGAGTTAGATGGATGTGAGCCACCGTGTGGGTGCTGGGAATTGAGCCTGGGTCATCTGCAAGAGTAGCAAGAGCTCCTAACTGCCGAACTGTCTCTCCAGCCCCCTTCCTGAGATTTTCTTTAATTCAGCAATAGACTTGAATGTATAGACTCCTCACGGTAAAAAGTTGTATGAAGACAGAGCTTTAGGTGTCTCATTGACAGTGACTTTGGCCTGGAAAGGACTGTGGCAGTGGCTCCCTCAGTGCCTGGCCTTGTCCTCCACACCCACTGTGGAGATCCTTAACTTTGTGTCTCCCTGTTTGTCTGCTCTTCCTGTGTCTGTGCTGGAACAGGTTGGAGAAGACCGTGTTGTTGGTGAAGTAGTGTGGCTGGAAGCTATGGGTTTCAGTTTCAGCGAGACTCCGCCCTCTCCTTTCTTGGGCAGTGCTTAGCTCCTTGGTCCTGGTTCCTCAGTGGCTCTTCTCAAGCCTGGCACCTCACAATGTGGAAGTGACTGCTCTAGACACACCACCGTCAGGATTGTGCCCTGCTGGTTGATGCTGGTTTATGCATAGTTTTAGCTATGCATAAAAAGTGCATAGCTCGCTTTTTATGTGTCCTTGAGCCTCTTTACTTTCTTAGCATCAGCCGTAGATGAAGGCCTCTTGAGTTTACTGTCCCTGTCCTCCCCAGGTCACCTCACTAACTCTAGCTTCTCAGCCTTCTCGGTTGTGTAGACTCCTCCCACCCACCGATTCTTCCCACTCTGCTTGCCATGCACTTACTCATGTTCTAGCCTCATATGTGAACCCTGGCCAGCAGACTTTTAAAGATGCTTTCTCCTGGCATGTGGCTCAGTGGTAGTGTCTACCCAGCACGCCCAGAGCCACACAACCACAGAAGAGAGTACAGAAAGAAAAATGCATTCTTTGACCTCTTCCTCCTGGTGTCTCGTCTTAACCCACACAGTCTAGGTCTAGTCCCAGGGTCTCACCGTGGCTCTGCGCCCCATGCACTGTCTCACCGCAGCGGCTGTGCGCCGCCCCATGCACTGTCTGACCACAGCGGCTGTGCGCCGCCCCATGCCCCATGCACTGTCTCACTGCAGCGGCTGTGCGCCGCCCCATGCCCCATGCACTGTCTCACTGCAGCGGCTGTGCGCCACCCCATGCCCCATGCGCTGTCTCACTGCAGCGGCTGTGTGCCGCCCCATGCCCCATGCACTGTCTGACCACAGCGGCTGTGCGCCGCCCCATGCACTGTCTCACTGCAGCGCCTGCTTCTTTGGTTGTCTCGCTTCTGTTATTTTCCTTAATACACCATTTCTTTTTCCTACAACTCTGTTAGACAACCTTCTGGGGTTTTGTTTGTTTGTTTCTTGTAATACATTCCCCTCTCCTCTCTCCTCATGACCCTAGCTCTCAAGCTGTGATTTCCCAGAGTTCTGTGTGGTCCCACTTCTCTTTGAAGTCTATGGCTGATGGCTATAGCCTAGTCTGAGTTGTGTAAGTGCCCACATCATAAGAAAGACTTCAGTCTGGATCTCCAACCTGGGCCTAGGCAGCTATTCTCTGTCTTCAGTCTCAAGTACCCATCATGGCTGACTGACAGAGGCCAAAGATGGAAGGCATATTGTAGGAGGAACTGCAGTGTGAGTGAGGCAGCCAGGAGACTTGCTGATTGAGTCAGAGGTCTGCTGCAGAGAAAGTAAACCTAATAATAGGGTCTGAAGCAGCCCGCATCTACCGCTGTCACTCAGCTCCTTTCCTCTTAATGTCTGTCACACGCCTCTTAATACCGAGGCACTGAATTAAACAAGAGCTTGGAGTTCCTTTTTTTTTTTTTTCCTCCGTGTTTCCTGTGCCCCAAAGCCAAAGCATCAGGATGTAAAGAAACTGGAACATGGCTAGCAGGTAGCTTTGTTTTCTAACAGAAATTTAAAAGCCACAACATGACTGACACTTCACTATCTTGATTCTAATTTTGATAGCACCTAGAACTAGCACTTAGAACTTAGCTACCTCCAACTACATCTGCCACTGCTGCTTCCACTGAAGGATCTTTTAAAGTGCCATTTAGTCTCCCTCCACACACGCCCCCCCAAGCTGAGGACCCAACCCCCACACCCTTCTCAATCACACATCACATTCACTTTCTCTGCAGCTCTTTCCCACTTCAAGATCATAGAATTTCGTGGTCATGAGCTTCCTGTTTGTCAGAGTCAAAAGTGATGGAATCATTAAAACAGCAGTGTAGCCACAAACAGCCATGACGTGTAACCATAGCCTTATGTGTGTGGTCAAAGTGTGCACATCAACAGTGTCTTTTGGAGAGAGTTGTGTCTCTGGCTAATGGAGCTTTGCCATCTACAAGATTATGAGTTGAATGAGGAAATGTTTGTTTATGAGGAACCTCAGTTAGGTTCTGAGATGTGAACAACAGGTACAGCAACTGCTTAGGAAGACCAGAACACTTGTTTTCTAAATACTTCATACACCCAGCAATCTCAGGGACCCAAAGGGTCAAGTGGTGAGGTCTGACTGCTCTTGGTATATGATTGGCATTACAACTGGCTGAAAAAGCCTGGTCAGTATTCCTAGCTTAAATCAGGAACCCAGCTCCCCGTTCCATTTTCTTGGAGAGGGATCGGCACCCTTTCTAGCTTTACAGGCTTTGGCTAAGCACGTACCCTGCAAATCTCACTGACAAGATGACACCTGACAGTTTATGGAGTGGCTTAACAGCCGGAGCAGAAAAAGGGTCACTTTACATATTGTTTTTATTTGTCACATTATCAACACTTACAGTCAAACTTGCATTTCAAGACAACCACGCTTTTTAACTTCCAACTTTTTCTTTGGTGGTTCTCCAAAGCTTAATGGCATCAAACTTGATGTTTGTGCTCAGGGTTGAGTCAGTCAGGGTCTGTGTGATTGATGTCAAGAGGGGAAACTAACATGTCAAGAAGCAAAGATCTAGCTCTATGAACAGGAAATGTGTACCCCACCTCTGCTGTGCTGCTCTCACCCTCTGTTTATTAGAATGTTCTTCTCTCCCTGGAGCACCCCAGCTTGTTTTGGAATACTCGGCTCAGACGCCATTGCTTTTCTGAAGGTTTCTTTACTTTTCTTAACCCTAGTATCTTATACGACCCCTCTTTCCAATGTCTCTTGTGTTTATACAGAGCCTCCACTTTTTCTGTAAAGGGCTAGACAGTCTCAGGCTTCATGTTCATGACATGTATGTTCAGCTGTTCAGAGCTGTTCAGCTCTGCCATGGTAGCATGAAAGGAGCCATGAATGACATGTAAATGGTTGACTGTCTGTGTTCTGAGAAGACCTAATTTACAGGTTCAGGGCACCGGAGCCAGAGTGCCTGGGCTGAGTGTAGCTCCAGCTCTAAGCTCTTGAGGGAGTATACTGAAGAGTATACTGAATTTTACTGTTGCTTTTTAATCTTCAGAATCAGACACAGTGCACTTAATAGCGCGGCCCCCCCCCCCCGAATGTTAAGAGAAAGAATGTCCAACTATGTAACGACAAAAGTCAGCAGCCGTAATGGTTCTACAAAAGTGACATGGTATCTGAGTTCATTTGAAAGTTGCCAGAGACACAGTTTTTATTAATGTTGATTTGTTTGCAGAAGTAGATTGGATATATTAAAAACAATAAAATCAGAGGGAAAGAGCACAGTTTGTTGATTTATATCTGAAGGAAATTAATGGTTCTCTTTCTAAGGAAGAAAGTGTGAAATTGAAAATAGTTTAGCAGGAATTAGAGTGGCCCTTTTATTAAAACGGCAGTGGCTTTTCTTCAGACTCAAATTTAATATGCTGTGTTTCCTCTGTCATCTTTTTTAATTTATAAGAATATGCCCTTATTTGATTGTCAAAGGTGATTGATTCTGCACCTCAGCACTCCCATTGCTGCTGATAAGAGCATATTATAGCCTTTAAGTGGGGTGTGGTTGGGAAAGGATGAAAGCCGCTGAATGAACAGTTAAAAATGTTTTTTGTTTTTGTTTTTTCTCCTCTAGGTTGATTTGGAATCAAATCCACAGAACAGAAGTCCTGAATCCCGTCCCAGCGTTGTTTATTCCAATATCAAATTTCCTCGAAAAGATAATCTCAACCCAAGACACATAAATCTTCCTCTTCCTGCACCACACGCACAGTATGCAATCCCTGGCCGCCATTTTCACCCGCTTCCTCAGCTACCCAGGCCACCATTTCCCATTCCCCAGCAGCATACCTTGTTAAATCAACAGCAGAATAATTTGCCTGAACAACCAAATCAGGTGGCACCCCAGCCAAATCAAGTGGCACCTCAGCCAAATCAGGTGGCACCCCAGACAAATCAGGTGGTCCAGCAGCAAAGCCAGGCACCACCACAGGCCCCGCAGCCACTGCCTCAACTCTCTCCTGCATTTCAGGCAGGGTCCACCAGTGCGTTTTTCAATAATGCAGCTGCTCACAGACCACAGTCTCCTCCTGCTGCAGAGGCTGTGGTTCCCGAGCAGCAGCCACCTCCCGTGCTTCCTGACGGCCACAGTCCGCTGAGAGCCATCACACAGCCTGGTCCCATCCTGGCATCTCCTCTGAACAACTTTGTTGATGAGAGCTCCCCAGGATTGCCTATAGGAGATGCTTTGGGTAAGCTTCCCTGTCATGATGTCACATGTGAAGAGTCCCCAGGTTATTTGCTTAACATGGCATGTCTTGTACAGCTTACTCTAAGCAAGATTGATTCATGTCTCCAAATAATGCCAGAAAACCCAACCAATTAGTATAATAAAATTTTACAGCAGCATCAGTACTGTAGCTCTGGGCTCTGGCAAATTTATGAAATAACTTTTACCCACCCGAGCTATAGCTATTTCTTTGTCTTTGTGGAGAAAATCTGGGTGTAAAGGTCTTTGCAAAAAATTACCTTGAAGCCCCAAATGGACGAAAACAATTTTCCACCCCTCCTTCTACAGATCGAGTGCATGGAAGTGTAGCTCTGGAGACACTGAGGCAGCAGCAGGCTCGGCTGCAGCAGTGGAGGGAACAGCATGCCTATCTCAGTCAAGGCAGCATCCCGCATCCACACCATCACCATCCTCACCTCCCGCATCTTCCCCAGCCACCCCTTGGCCTCCACCAGCCAGCAGTGAGGGCAGAGTGGAAACTCGCTGGCAGAGTTGAGGATGAAGCAGAGACACCGTTCTCAAGGTACTCGAGCAGCCCAAGGCCGGCCTGGGCACGAGCTGAGTTGTCGGCCTCACCCTAGCCCGTTAGCTTTCACTTGGAACACAGTCTCAGATAAGTCCAGTGTTGGCCTTGCTGGTGGATGCTACAAAGTCCTCTCAGTTGACTCTAAAATATGGAGAATTTAGACATCATTCTTGTACAGTTCTGCTCCTTGCTTTATGGTCTGTTATCCACAGAAACAAAGTATTACTGGACTGTGTGCTTGTTGTTGTTTGTTTATTAGTAAATAAAAGAATGAGGACAGAAGGAAAACTTAAAAATAGTAAGTTTATCATTAATTTCTTTATCTAGTAGGGTAGTTGTCTAACTTCCTAGAGCTATAGGCTTTCTGAGGATTCACTCCTGACTCTGAGTGTATTTGTGGTCAGCATCATGTGACTGCTATAAACTGCTTCCTCCTCTCTGGAAAACACCCACTGTCACTGTGGCCCTTAAAGTTCGTTCGTTCCTTCCTTCCTTCCTTCCTTCTTTCCTTTTCTTCTCCTTCTCCTTCTTCCTCCCCCTCTTCTTCTTCTAGCATTTATTTCTATTTTTAAAGTATACAACCTTTTCCTTTAATTGATTTTTTTTTTTAATTTCATGTGTATGAGTATTTTGCTTGCATGTATGGTATGTGTACCATGTGCATACCTGATGCCTGAGGAAACAGAAGAGGGCATTGGGTCCTCTAGAACTGGAGGTAGAGGTGGTTATGAGCCACCACATGGGTGCTGAGACTTGAACCAGGGTCCTCTATAAGAGCACAAGTATTCTTAACTGGTGAGCCATCTCTCTAGCCTCTTATTTTTATTTCTGCATGTATGGGTATATATGTGTGTGTATGGGTGTGTATGTGTGTATACTGGTGTATGTGTGTATGTGTGAATGTGGGGGTCAGAGGACAGCCTGTGGGGAGTTGGTTCTTCTATCATGTCTGCCAGGGATTAACTTGGATTGTCAGATTTGGTGGCCAGCATCTATACCTGCTGAGCTATCTCCCTGGCCTGTGGTGGCCTTTTATTACTTCCAGTTTTCATGTTGAGGCAAGGATGGACCCTTTTATGCAAAGGTAAAAACCAGTTAGGTAATTAACATCTTTACTGAGCATTTCTAGTTCAGAATCTGTTGGATGTCAATACTTAGTTTTGGGTTAATTAATGGCAACCCTAGTTAGGTATTGTGATTTGGTTTGCAGAAATCACACGTGTGGTTGACTCCGCTCTTCTTAATGCAGTGGGGGCCTCTCCTTGGTTTTCCCTCATATTTTCTTATTTTTGTGTAGGTTTCAGGACTTACTCAGAGAGCTGTCTCATCGTGATCAAGGTGACACTAGAGAACAGGCTGAAATGCCACCACCTCAGTCAAGACTTTTGCAATACAGACAAGTTCAGACCAGAAGCCCACCAGCAGTCCCGTCTCCCCCTTCCACCACAGACCTCAGCAGCCACTTTGCTAACTTCAGCGACAACAGCAGAGACATTGAAGTAGCCAACAACCCAGCATTCCCACAGCGCCTCCCACCTCAGCTCTTCGGCTCCCCCTTTTCGTTGCCATCTGAACACCTTGCCCCACCTCCCCTGAAATACCTGGCTCCTGAAGGAGCGTGGAATTTTGCTAACTTGCAACAGAATCACTTAATAGGGCCGGGTTTTCCCTATGGCCTACCTCCATTGCCTCCCAGGCCACCGCAGAACCCTTTTGTACACATCCAGAACCATCAACATGCTGTTGGTCAAGAGCCATTTCACCCACTGTCATCTCGCACAGTGTCGTCTTCTTCGCTCCCCAGCCTAGAAGAGGTAAATGCCTCTCAGTGTTCTTCTGTCTTGGGATCAGTTGGCTGTGAACAAACTGTTGCTATTTACCCATTTGATAAAAGGAGATCTTACCAGATAGGATTTTTTTTCTTGGTTTTTCAAGACAGGGTTCCTCTGTGTAGCTTTTGGAGCCCGTCCTGGAACTCACTTTGTAGACCAGGTTAGCTTTGAACTCACAGAGATTCATCCGCCTCTGCCTCCCAAGTGCTAGGAATAAAGGCAAGCACCACCTTTACCACAGAATTTGTTATTTTAATGAAATGCTCTGGGTTTTCTTGACTGAATGTTCTCATAGAAGCTGCTAGCTTTTAGTTTCCTAGCCCAAAGAGTTGTGGATGCCTTTGGCAGTGTTGGCTGTCATCTCTATGGAAAAGTAGGCTTTGGCACCCAGCACTGTCCCCTTTCCCAGTACCAGGTGTGACACCTCGCCTCTCCTGTTGAGGGTGCTCATACAACGTTTGGTGGGGGCTGTGTCCCTGTTCTCACAAGGTCGCACTGTTTATGCTTTGCTAAGCACCGCTTCATACTGAATAATCCACTTTAATCACTGAGCTTTTAAAGTGGCCTGTGACTCTGGAATTGAACTTCTTTGTACCCTGTTGCTTTCAGTGTTTGCTATTTTTGTGTCGCTGTGAGTATTATAAATACCTACCTTCATTTGCCAGTGAGCTCTTCTGCTTTGCAAAAACACTTGGTCATCTTGCTTCTGACACTAGGTTCGTGAGTGATGACTAACTTGCAGCAATTGAAGAAATTCTTTGACAAGGAAAATATTATTTTTACCACATTGTAGATTTTGACATTTTCAACGTATTAGGGTAAGTTCTGTGTGTTCAGAATGATCTTGCATGAATCATCTCACACAGTAAATGACATATGTTCTCACTGCTTATTTCCAACCTTTTGAAATAATTTCTTTAACTTTAACAATACAAAGAAAGTTACTTTCTTCCTTACTGTGGATTCTTTTCTTGCCGGAAACTTGGCAGATGCATCGGACACGATGAAAACACTTGCATGTTAGTCGAACAGTTACCTTAAATGGAGATTTTGTTTCTTCATATTTTGTTGGACTCGGTTTTTGGTTTATACTTATCTTTTGAGACAAGATTTTGCTGTGTAGTTCAAGCTGCCCTTAAACTGTGATCATTCTACTGTCTCATCCTCCCTGGTGCTGGGGTGACAGGCATGGACTGCAAATACTCAGTTGTAATTTTTATTTTCTTTGGAAAAATGAAATGCATGGCCAATATAAAACATATAGAAGCCAGAAAAATCACCCAACTTCACTACATAAAAATAACTACTATAGCATTTTATTTATCCTTTCCTGGTGGCCATAGATAAGAGTGTGTGGTGGGTTAACCTAGGGGAATTGATTAACTGTCATGGAAACTGAATACAACCATGCCCCCCATCATTGTGCCCTGAACTGCCCTGTCCAGTCTGCCTTTCCCCAAGCTCAAGGCACTCTGAATGGGACTCTGGTCTTACAGCTCTTTTCAGTTCTGAGAGTAATTCTCACTTTCTAACTAAGGCTGAACCTCACTGGTTTTCCCACTTTACTCCAAATTCAGTGGAAGCTGTAGGTGGCCTTTGGCTGTGTGGATGAGGCTGGGACACACAAGATGCTGCCTTGTCCTGGGGCAGGCAATAGATTAATGTTCTTAGCTGGCAATAGATTAATGAATTCTTCCAGTTTGACTTCAAATCCTAGTGCAAGTTTGGGGTCATGATTTAATTTCCCTCAGATACTTCCTAATTATCTTTGTCCCTTCCCTGGCTTGTGGTGTCGTCACTAGCTAGAAGTAGCTTCCCTGCTAAACGACAGACTCTTCATATAGCATTGTATTCTGCTCCAGTGTCAGCTGGCGAGAAAACGCAATCAACAGAAGTCCATTCTTAGCTTTGGGGCCTCTGAGGGCTCTATTTCTGGTGGGCTCGATGAAGAGTTTTTCAAGGCTGGAGAGATGGCTCAGTGATTAGGAACACTTACTGTTTTTGCAGAGAATCAGGGTTCGGTTCCCAGCACCCCCACTGTGGCTCACAGCTGCCTATAACTGGAGCCCCAAGGATCAGACACTCTCTTTTGGCCTCTGTGGGCTCCTGTATGCACATGGTAGGCTTACACACATACACGTAAGTTAAAAATTTCTCTGAAGGCTGATTTTTATTTGTGTGAAAATACTCATTTTACATGGTATGACCTCACTTTGAGGAGGAAGGCATTCTTCAGCATCTCCTGTGCTAAAATCACTTTCTGGTCTTTGTGTTTGTTTTCTCCTTTAGCTTCTCTGTTCAGTCCTGTGACGCTCTTAACTTAAATGAGGCTCGGTGTTGTAAGCTAACACACAACCTTCAGGGGTCGTGTGAAAGCCATGTGCTGTCTTGTCTCTTCATGTTTCGTAAGCAAGTGCACACAAGAGGAGGAGGCCATCTTGTGGGTCTCCTACTAGTGGGATTTTAGGATATCTTTGTCAGCCCTTCCTCTTCCTTCTATACCTGTAAAACCCTCTTTAGATTTCTCTTGGAATTGTGTTAAACTTAGAGCTTTAATTGGAAGGAATTTTATCCCTGGAAATTCTTTCAGTTTCTCCCTTAGGAAATATCTCTCTCTCTCTCTCTCTCTCTCTCTCTCTCTCCCTCCCTCCCTCCCTCCCTCCCTCCCTCCCTCCTCATTCCCCTGTGATTTTGTGTTTCTCTTTAAAAATTCTTTAGTGTCTTCATTTCTGGTCCCCACAGGATAGTGTGTTGTTTTATGCTCTGTTCACTCTTGTGAATGCAAGCTTCTTGCATTATACCTTTCAGGCATTTCATCTGGAAAGATAAATCTTCCTTCTCCTTAAGTGGCTGTAGATTTGTCAAGTTAAAGCCTTGCATTTTCCCCCGAGTGCGTGGTCCGGAGACTGGCACAGAACACTTTCCATCTCAACTGTGCTTCACTCGGAAATAGTCTGATTGAAGAAATAAATGGAGAAAATGAAAAAGTCTTTTCAAATTGTCACTGTACCAATCAGAATTGGTTTCTGAAATTGCACATTTTTGTCTGCAGTGATGATGTTATCCTAAAAGCCTCATTAGAGAATTGGGTCCCGGCTGGGGGTGTGTCTGGTGGTGAGCACTTGCTTAGCATGCGTAAGACCCAGGGCTCTGTCTCTGCTTGGGGGAGTGGAGGCATTGACTGTGACAGTGCTCTTGGGGCTGCTCGTTCTTGTCAGCTGTCAGCCAGTGAACATTAGAGATGACCTGTGCCTCTACAATGCCTCTGCATGTTCTTGTTGTGTCCTAGCTTTTGAACAATTTACTTTTTTTCCATTCTTCTCCCTAGCACCTGTAGTTTGGCATTACTTTCCCTACATTCTCTAGCCATCCTTATTCCTTAGAGCCAAATGGAGGGCTCTCATATTGATAAAGGCTTGGTTCAGTTTTGCCTCTTCTCACTGTAGGTGTAGATATTGATAGCTTGTGATTCTGCTGTGTAACTAACTGGAAATACTGCTGTCTTCTTGGCTCAGGAAAGGATGGTGTGTAGTAAACCTCCTAATATAAGTAATAGTGATCAACAGATTGATACCTCCATTCATGCCTAATCGTCAAAGCTAATCATTGAGATGAGATCTTGAACTTTAATTAAAGCTCCTGGCACCGTAGTTAATGTGACTTGGAATTCCCACTAGAGCACTTAGTTTTCCCTTGGTGATTAGCTTTGGTAGCACAATTATAAATATAGAACTTTAATTAATATGCTAACCTTTCCCCCAGTCATTTATTTATACACATCCATATGAAAGGATTTGCTAACCATAACATTACAGATATGTCTTAGAGTAGCAAGCAAATTAGAAATTTTACTTAGATTGACAATTATCTTAATAGTAATTTATACACAAATTCAGTAATCCTTTTTTACTTAGAGTTCATATATTAAATTGTTTTTGAAATGTTTTAGCATTACATTTTTATATTTAGAAAGAAATATTAGCAGTAAAAATTAAAAATAATGATCATATGTGCATTATATCAATTAGTGATATAATGATGTCATAGTTCAACATGGAATATTTTTATAAACATTTATTTATTTTTGTTTCATGCTTTTGAGTGGTTGCCTGTGTGTATGTATGTGCACTGTGTTTATGCCTGGTGCCTAAGAAAGCCAGAAGAGGGTATTGGTTCCCTGGAACTGGAGTTGTAGATGCTTTTGAGCCACCGTGTGGATGCTGGGCACTGAACCCTGGTCCTCTGTAAGAACAACAAGTGCTCTTAACCACTGAGCCATCTCTGTCCCCAAAGATCATTTATTTTAACTCCTTCTTTATTATCGTCATTATTGAGTTACTGGGAATTGAACCTCGATCCTCGTGCGTACTAGACCACACACTGCCGCTCTGAGCTGTATCCACAGCCCTGCTTGCTTCACTCTAAGAGAGGGCCTTACTAAGTTATACAGGCAGACCTTGGACTTGCTCTCTATAGCCAGGTAGGACTTGAACTTTCCATCCTCCTGCCTTAGCCTCTTGAGTAACTGGGATTACAGGCTTGTGCCAAGAGGCCTATTTTCTTTAAAAAAAAAAAAAAAAAATTTTTTTTTATCACATGTATTTTATTTTTTTGGTAGTGGGGGGAGTAGAGAGAAAGAGGGAGAGAGAGAGTTTAGGCCAGAGGACAACCTGCTGGAGTCATCCTCTGTGGGTTCTGGTATCAAACTCGGGTTGTAAGGCTTGGCAGCAAGCACCTTGACCCCTGAGCCATCTCACCGGCTCCTGGCAACCTACTTTTAAAGGCAACTGAGGCACAAAGATGCCGGTGGGCTCCTGTTAACCAAGCTATCGATGAAGCTGTGACTCATGTCGGCATGTAGGAAACAAGGGATGACGGCCGTTCTCAGAACCAGGTGCTGGGGGAAGCAAGTGGTCTTCTGACAGAGAATTACATTTGTAGCCATCTAAAATTTTCCCTTTTGTGGGGATGGGAGGAGCAGT